GACCTCATTGTCGCAACTTGGTCTTGTTGTCAGGGGGACTTAGTAGAACGCACCTAGTCCGAAGTCGTCTACCAGAGTAGATGTCATGATTCCCAGCATCAGACAGTGGACTAGGGGTGAGGGGGTGAGAGTCAGCGTGAGGGTGTGAAGTGATCTCATGAAAACCACTCAAAATGGCACACCATACCATATTTAAATAAGCAAGTTAAAAATGGCGATAATGAAGAGGTGATACGATGATATAGGATCGATGATTAGCCCAGGGCTAAAATATAGATAGCGCAAATATTTTGCAGACAATTGGTCAAGGGAATGGCTTCGCTTGTCACTTTGGTGCTAAGAATAGCAAAACTCATTGAAGATGCTAGCGAAACGTCTGGAAATGTACCACGTCTGCGGTCCGACTTTGGAAATTATCAAGCATACTATAGACTCCAGACTAGATTAGTTCTTCTAGGTCTTCCTGCCAATATGACCAAGTTGCGAAAACAAGGTCAAACAACTTCTAAAGTAATTTTTAATAAAATAGATTTTAAGTAAAGTGACTTAGACATTCCGTGCCATTGTACACAGCTATCATTACATCAACCTCGATCCTTAATAAGAACAGATAGGACATGAAAAACCGATATATATGAATCTTCTCATTTATATTTGCATACTAGGTAAAGTCGGCGAAACAGCACCAACCAGAGATGCTCCAACGGCCGTAGAAGCATACTCTGATACCAGTTGGCTAGCCGGTCTGTCTAATTGATTCATCGATGAGAACTTAGAGGTAACACTTGTTGAGAACTCCTCACTCCCAGCAGCACCAGAAGCCACCGTTGTTGGAGGCAGAAGAGAAGGATGAAATCCGCCTCCCGCTGCGATGCTCTGCAGCAAAGCAAGGCCTTGCACCATATTGGGAGACAAATCTACGCCACTTGGTTCTCCGGTTGGGAAACCTTGCCGGGCTTCAGTTGTTGCGACCCCTTCGAAGTGGCTCCCTGAGTTTGTGGTGGAATCTAGACAACTGATACTTAGAGGCAAGGGAGGATAGGTAGCTGCACCAATGGAGTGCTTGGCTCCGTCAAGCCGACAGTGGGGAGAAGTAGGCTGCATCGATCCATTAGGCGATGTGCCTTTAGGAGATAAAAGCAGTAAAGAAAAAAATTAGACAAGATTGTGGCATAAGTATTAGGGCAAAGT